GTTGTTGTCGTCATTGGAGATTTGTGTAATCCCCTCGGTGTATCTTCCCTTTCCTTCCTCATTTTTACACGTCCCTTTTCCATCATGACTTTCCTCATTAGGGCGTGTATAGATAGGTGATGTACTGAGTGTAGAGGTGGGTCGCAGGTGTAGAGTCGGCTAAGAAATACTTCGTCGTAGATACATAAGAAGTTTGAGAGATATCGGATGTTTGAATACAACCCCCAGACAGACCTAAATCTATTCGTGAATCGTAGGTTAGTGGTTATGAGTTTTTGTTCAACTTTTTTTTTTAAATCATTCAGTGTATGCAGCCTAACTAGCTATGACACTTTTTGCTCAATTTTTTTTCGGCTGTGAAATCTCTGCTGACTGATTTTTCGACCAAAATATCGATTGCAACTCCTTCAAGTCGAAAATCCATGAAATAAAATTCATCCCACTCTTTTTCGTGACTGAATCTCGGCTCTGGAAGAATATTTCACTCCCAAGTTTGTAGAGGCCACCGCATACAGTTATTCAGTCTTTGCCCACCTATATTTTGATGTTGCTGACTAAGTTTTGGAGTCAATGACCGGATCTGAGCTAACGATGGTTGCAGAAATGACCTTTCGATTCGTCAAGAGGTGGAGGTTGAAATGATTTTAGGATTAGATTCCTTATAATGAGACGGTACCGTTCTTATTAGATCGATATATGCTTTAATTAAGGCTCATGGTTTAAAGGTCCTTTAGTGTATGAATTTGGCCCTTGAGCGCGGAGGAAATTGCACGAATTATTTTTATTTGGCAAGTGTATTGTGCTGGGGATCCCTGATTAATTTTTGAAATAGAAGATGATTTTATTTCTTCTACGTAGTGTAGTAATGAGTTGAAAAATCATCTATTATTGTAAGCAGACTTTTACAAGCAAATTTCTGAGCACAGCCAAGAAGCGAAAGTACAGTCCACATGGTGACATATCCGACTAATAATGATTATCAGAGGGATTAATAGTGTAGAATTAGATATTATAGTTCCCTGATTCTATCGCGGAACGAAGATATCTACGATATAATCTATTACTGTGAACTTAGAGTGGTCTTCGTGTGAATGCCACATGAATCGTCAAATGATGAAAAGCGAATACATGAAATGAGTTGATTAATTTTCTCCGTGCTACAATGGACTCGTAGCACTACAATATCTAATTCTACCATATTAACGCCCCTGATCATCATTACGAGTCAGACATGCCCGCACGCAGATCGTGCTTCCGCTTTTGGACTGGATCCAGTCTTATGCAAGCATAAGACTGCTTACAAATACTCATTTTTAACTATCACGTGATATAGGCATATTTATGCTATGAATTCTTACACTTATGAGGAAATATTTATCTGCCCTTGTGAATTGCGTTCAAAGAATAGTGCATGATGTATACTCAGAGCAGCAAATATCTTTACAGACTATAAGATGGGAATAAACCAAAGAGGAACACCTTCCAGTATTCATAAACACCTGAGCAGGGCCCAGAGCAGCTTAGCCATGCAGATAAGAAGCGAACACATTGGGTTCAATTCCTTTCTGCACAGAAGAAAAGCTCCAGGGGTAGATAAACCCAATGCAAGTGTGGATATCCGTCCCAGAATGTGAAGCACATGATCATGGCCTGCACCAGCTGGGCCAAAGGTAGAAGAGAAATACTGAGAAAGGCAGAGAACCGATCATTTGAGGCCATGATGAACGATGAACGATCCCAAAAATATTGCAAGGATAACTAGATAGATCCAGCAGTAAGGATGGCTAGAGCAGTTTAGACTGACTCTTGAAGTCGAGGCCATGATGAAGGAGAAAGATGTTCTCCAGCCAGTAGCAATGAAGTGGACGGTATCCACACTGGACAAAACAGTGTTAGCGTTGTTCCACAATTATTCATTCATTAATTCATTTTACTGTCCTGTCTGAGCCTCTGACTATGTAGGACATGCAGGTCCTCTCTGCCTACAGGCCAAGGATACCTATACCAGTAGTATATCCCCTCCAATGCCTCCCATACAGCTCCCCTCAAACAGTACCGCCCCTCACAAGTCCTCATTCGATCATACACTTAGAGGAGCCCTTAGCCCTTCATTATCTCCCCTCTCCAGCCAACAAAACGATGGCCATTTGCGGCTGTATGGCAGCCGGGAAAAATCGCAAAAACCACTGGGTGCGGAGCTCTCCTAATACCGACATTAGGACTAAATCCGAAGACATAGTGATCCTTCTGAAGCGTTCGAAGAGGCCGGCCAGCTGGGCGCTGCAGACTTGTGGGTACCTTGGAGAATTCGCACTCTACCTTTCTAGCCTCCTTCCAACTCCTTCCCGAAGGTCGTGCTGAAATGTCAGAAAAGTCTTGACAGAGCGTGATTTCTGTATAGTTGCTTAGTCCAACTTCTTTGGTGCCGTCCAGGGCGCTGGGGAGTGCCGTTGACTCATCGACAAAAGAAGCTCTCATGGCTAATTAGCCGAAATCTCAGTCTTGGCGCCCACAAAAAATCCAAAGTTGAAAACTCCTCGAAAATATCAGTCCCAGCATGGTCTCCAGAGACCTGTTCCCCCTCTCGCTCCACTTCTCAGGTGCCTGTTCTTCCTCAAGTTGTTTGTCCCATTAGAGCAATAGTCCCCCATAAGCCAAGATCCAGGCTTTGTATTTTCGACTTGATTTCCTCCTTGCGGGTATAAATAGCATCGTAAATATGTAGTGAGAGATGGCTGGAGATTAATGGGGCAAGCTCCTGTATGCAATTGGAGCAACTTCTTTATTGGTCGTTGAGGCGAGATGATGCGTGGTTAGAGATGGGTTGAGGACTCGGATGAGTATGGTAAGAGAGGCATTGTTGAGAAGTCGTCAAATGGAGATGTGCTCGAGGTTGCTTTCGACTTCGATTCGGATACGATTCTTCTTGGCTATCCTAGATATGCAGAGCATACTGAGCGATTACACCGGCACCACTGGAATGTGAAGGTTTCGTCTTTGCCGGCCGTTGTTCCACAACCTCAGAGCGACGGTTACTGTAGATTTCCTTTGGGGCGAATTAACAAATATATTATATTAAGTATATATATCGCAACAACCTCTATCCACTGACTCCTCTCAAAAGGAACTCCACCAGATTAGTTTTCCATCTCTGCTCTGACCACCTTTCCTTCTATAATTAATTCATGACTAATCCAAAGCTCCTTCCTGATTAGTTTCAGGGTTAAGTTTACTCCAAGCAGATTAGGGTACTGTATGCGAGAGTATTCCTACGGTTAGCGAACTTCGTCAAGATCACACAACATTTAAGTGTTTACAAATTGAAAATTTTGAGGGTGGTTTTATTTTTTGCATCAGATTTTAATTGCGTATGCAGCTATCTAGCTATGACACAATATCAAAGAAAAGTATAGATTATATGATTCAACGTAAAGGAAGAGCACTCATGCCTCGGATTTCACTTGTAAGTACCACTGCGAAGTTGTGGCGGCTTTTTCTTCACCCCAAGTCAACCCTCATCCGTGAATATACACCCAGGGGAACGTCTCAAAAACCCTGAGTTATCCAGACATGACTCCACCATCTTTCAACTTTTCTCCGCGCGATATGTGATCTGAGATGTCTCCTTCCCAAGTGGAGTAGGTGCCCAGTCTACTCAAAATATACCTGAGAACACCACCAGGAAGCGGACCACAACACCTTCCATCGTTTGCTTGTTTTACAGTGTCGCCTGCACTCTCGCAACCGAAGACTTGGCACGCCAAAAGCTCAATTTGTAAAAACTCCTTACCAAAATTCAAAACTCCATGCCCGTCGAGACTGTATCCATCCTCTGCATCATCTTGAAAACTTTTCCTGATTCCTCTCACGTCTATCCCAAGGAACTGTCTCCCAGATTTGTGCGCCACGCTTTGCTTCCTCCGTCGGGTATAAACATTAGCGTGGGCATGTATTTGGTGACCGGCTGAGGCTAGAGAAAGTCGACGAGAGGTGTGATCATTGGAATGAGGATATATTTGGTCGTGCTTGTAGGCTTGATGAGACTTAGGTAGGAGTCAATCTCGTTGTGAGCGGAAAAACAACGTGGTGGAGTAGTTTGAATTTATGCCTCGTGGGCCAACTTCTTTGATATTGCGAAATTTGACTGAACTTGGCTCTGGGAGAATATTTCACTGAGGGGGTTTTTACCACATAGGTTTAATCCTGTGTAAATATTAGAGTTCGTAGACACCTGCATGGGCCTAAAGGCGATAAATCGGGCTAAATGAAATCAAAATACATATTATTTGCTGTTGAAGTTGAATTGTCGGGATTGACAATTCTATGTACAGTTAAAATGTAAAATATTCTAGCAACGCTGAGTTGTTAGTTCGGTGCCGTCGCCATTGTAGTGAGGGTTAAATTGAGTCTGATGAAATTACAATTTATTACCTGTATTCGTTGTAATTTTTACCTTAAGGAAATAGTTATGGCGAGGAGATAGGTTTTTGTTAAGCGAGGCATGTAGCCTCTGAAATTATTTTATTGAGATTCTAATTACAAGTTGTAGCATACCTAAATTACTAGCCGCTAGAGACTCCGAAACAAAACCTAAGCCAATCGCGATATAATGTACTAATAATCATCTTGTATTACTCTTCCCCACTGGAAATTTATCATGAGAAAAATGCCTATTGTTCAATCATTTATTGGGGTATAGCTGCCTCAAGTTGAGATTTTTTGTCTCGTAATCTTGAGTCTTATAGGTGCCGGTAGCATCTATGTGTAAGCTCAGCTCTACAGTTCATATATGGGTGTTCAAGGATTATTCAAGAGCGTTGCTTGCAAATAATCTAGGTCTTGGAGTATCGTACCGGGCACCTATCTACGTATTAGTGCAAGGATTTATGGTTATTTAATGTCATGTTTTTTGAGCCGTGCCGTCGCGGGCTAACACTGTTTACCCTGTTATTAGATTTAGGTCAGTGTGAAAAAAACAGATCAACTTTGTTCGACAGAAGTCAACCAACAACTGCTACGGACGTCTGTTGTCTTTTAGCCGGAACTTGGGTGGTTTCCTGTTCATCATCAGTACTACACAAAACACTCATTTGATCAGTGATCTTGGGCCAACTCGAGTAATTTCGGTCCTCGAATCTGGATAACATCAGCTGAAGCTCATAGAACAACGTACCTCGGTAGCTGGGCGTTTCTTTTTTTGCTTTTGAGGGCGAATTGGTTTTATCTCACCCTCTGTAAAAACATCATCAGGCAAGTCGCAACTGGAGGAAGTTAGCTTCATTAAGTTTTAGAGAGGTGACTACATACTTCTTGGTATGAGCTACTCCAAGAGAGTTTTCCTCTTGGTTATATGCCTCTGATGAAGTGCATATTTTTTTGAATTCGTCGACTTCATACGAGAGATCGAGAGATTTTGCTCCTAGAACAATTTAGAGACAGATGTTTAAGGTAAATATCTACGATGCTGAATTCAAACAGAGCCTTTGGCCTGAGTAGGCTGAGCAAAGTTAAAAATTCAGTGTTTGCCTACCTTCAGCAAGTTCTAAGCCAATATAGTGTGTAGCTGTATAAACCATTATTCCGCGTTGATCAATTTCGGATTTTTCATTTATTTCTCCGGCCTCTTTTGGTATTTCGGTCGCAAGGCCGTGTCCAGTTGTTAGAGTAGCGATGTCTGTAGCGTGGTATTTAAGGGATCCATTCTTGACCAAGTCAACTTCTTCTTCATTACTGCATCTGTGAACTCTTGCAAATCCTTTATTGAATGGATGGGCTAATGCTATAGATCGATGGTATTCCAGCTTATTAACCAGCAAACGCACTTTCGACTCCACGAAACCAGACCAGAGAAGTTGTGACTCCTTGGTCCTGCTGGCCGAAACAACAGATAAGTAATATTTGTAACCTTTTGTGAAGAAGGTGTGCTTTGCAAATAAATCTCTCCACGGTGCTTTTCCTGACATTACCTGATCGGCGATGTCACCACCTCTTCTGAGCTCTTTCTCCAGAATGGCTTTTGTGGAGAGGGAAAAGTTATGCGTCGTACACATTTCCGGATAAGCAGGTGTAATTATGGGCATTATGTGATTTTTATCTGATCCATATATCTATAGTTTTGATTGTTAACTTCGGCGTATTTTCGTGTGCATGATTTGTCATACCTTCGGATTCCAGACTTTGAGGCCTAGAGTATTGGCATTATCAATATCCTTTAGTAGCACAGGCATTGGCCATCGCCATTTTTCCATGATACGGAAGAACTTAAATACAATCGTAGAGCTTGTTGCCTTGGGATAAAGCTGACAGATTCTAGCGACTAATATAGCCCAGGCGACACCACCAGGGAATCCATAGATGTTTCCGGAGATAGCACGTCTGGTTCCCCATAGTTTAATTGTGCGGAGTGCTGTTCGAAATATGGCAGGCTCTGGGACCAAATTTAAGATCTCATCTGCCACACGAACGCCATTCAGGGAACGGACCTCTTCATTGTTCAATCCACGTAACATATTTTGGTTAAGTAAAGATAAGTTCCTTGGTACATGACTGAGCTTAACGCGTCCAAATAATAAGTCGATGTCAATCCCTGCGTATTTGAGTGTGATGCATGGAGCAAAGGCATCAGGTTTAGCAGTCAGTTCAGTGATGGGACCTTCACTTGCCATGGATCTTAAAAGATCAGGAAACTTGCTGAAAAAATCTTCTTTTGTGACATTTTGTGGTGCGACGACTAATGCGTCGATATCTGATCCAGGACCGATAACCCCCAGTTTGTAGCTACCAAATGTTACTACCATACCGCCTGCAGTCTTGACAAGATTTGCGGCAAGGCCCTGAGCCGTGCTGACCTGTCTTACAAATTCCTCCGTGATAAGTTGAAGTGAATTAAGAACTTTTTGCCTAGATTCATAAAATTAATCAGTCACTGCAGATAATTATTGCAGGGAAAAATTTGATCACAATGCTACCTCTTGGATATTTCTGCTGCGTTTTCATAGTTATTTTGGCGCTTCAGTTCTTCGATCAACGAGTTGGAGGCTTGGTTTTCGGAGTCTGTGGGTGGGGTAACTGAGAGCGGGCCAGTTACTCCGAGAGGCTTCGATGTTGAAGAATTCATGTCTACAGTGTAAAGGACGACAAGGTGTCAAGTTATTTCTGTTTTGGTTGATGCTGAATTGAGTGAATCCTGGGGAGTCGGAGGCTTTCTTGCAACACATATAGCGAAGCCGATCCTAAGCACAGGCGACTCTAATTGAACTAGCAAAATATTAACCTAAGGCCAAATAATCCCATTACATGCCTGATGCCGAATAGCCGGAAGGTAACAAATGATCAGCTGTCAATGAGGTCCCTACAAATCTGGGAATGAAATATTCTCCTAGTCACGTTAAGAAAAGTTTTGGAATACGGTTGAAGTTGGCCCACGAGGTAGTGATTCAAAATACTCCGCTATGTCAAATTTTCACACCAAACCAGATTGATTCCTGTAAGCCTTGTCAAGTCTACAGGTACAACCCAGTAAATCATTTCAATGACCACACCTCTCGTTTACTTTCTCCGGCCTCAACTGGTCACCAAACACACGCCCACGTCGATATTTCTAATAGCCGGAGGAAGCAAGGCGTGGCGCACAAATCTGGGATACAGTTCTTTGGGAATGTCGTGAGAGAGATCAGGACAAGGTTACGAGATGGTGCAAAGGATGGGTAAAATCAGTCCCTGCGTGAAATTCGGTATTTTAACAGTGAGTTGTATGAACTAAGCTTTGTGCGTGCCAAGTCTTTGGTTGCGAGAGTGCAGGCGACACTAAAAACACTTCCATAGCTGGATGGTGCGGTAGTACATCGTCTTGACTAGTCTCGCAAGTAAGGTCTGGATAGCTTGAACACTTATCCCACTCGAATCAGAAGACCGCTGCTTCGAATCCGGCAAAACTGAACTTAATTTCACGCGGCGCTGATATTTACAGATGACAAAGGCATGCTTGGATAATCAAAGGTCTTGAATTTCCGTTTGGTGGGTACTTAATGATGAGGGTTGACTGTTTGTGTAAGCAAGCATATCTCATAGTGGTTTTTGCGAATGAAATCCAGAGCATGAGTGTGTCTAACGTCAAAAGAGTCATCCAACATGTATACATAGTACCGGTCGTGTTTCATAGCTAGATAGCTGTATACAGTTTAAATAATTAAAAAAAACATTGGACTTATATATACAAATATGGGAGAAATTCCCACTAGTCTCATATGTCTGTCAAATCTAATTATGACCAGCCAGCTCTCATCTACCATGATAAGCTAAGGTGTACTGTAGTACGTAAATATCCAAACGTATTTGCGACAGTAGGCGGGGTTAGCGCTCTCGGCACATCTGTATAGACAGTCGATATTGTCGGTAACCTGAGACAAAACAGATAATGGTTGGGACCTAACTTCGAGAGTAAGAATTTCCAACACTCTGCCTGCAGGCCAAGGATACCTATGCCAGAAATATATCCCCTCCTATGCCTCCCATACAGCTCCCCTCAAACAGTACCATCCTTCACAAGTCCTCATTCGATCATATACTTAGAGGAGCCCTTTGCCCTTCATTATCTCCCCTATCCAGCCAATATAAGATGGCCTTCAGCAGGTATATGATTGCTGCCAGAAATTGCTAAAACCACTGGGTGCGGTGCTCTCCTAATACCGACATTAGGACTAAACCCGAAGACATAGTGATCCTTCTGAAGCGTTCGAAGAGGCCGGCCAGCTGGGCGCTGCAGACTTGTGGGTACCTCGGAGAATTCGCACTCTACCTTTCTAACCTCCTTCCAACTCCTTCCCGAAGGTCGTGCTGAAATGTCAGAATAGTCTTGACAGAGCGTGCTTGCTGTATGATAGCTTAGCCCAACTTCTTTTGTGCCGTCCAGGGCCCTGGAGAATGCCGTTGACTCATGGACAACTGAAGTCTTTCTGGATAATAAGCCAAAATCTCGAACGTGGCGCCCACATACGTTCCAATGTTGAAAACCCCTCCAAAATATCAGTCCCAGCATGGTGTTATGGGGGGAGCGAGGAGCGATGTTAACGTGATGAGAAGTCTGGTGGATCAAGGTTAGCTTTAATTAACTGAACGTGACACAATCTATATCGCGAGCGCGCTTCACTCTATTTGTACATGACAAGCGAGACCCTAATACTAAGGCTGTTGAGAATCAAGCCTTGTGAATCAGGCCTACGTGAACTAAAATCTAATCAAATCCTGACACACACGATTTTTTTGAAATTCGAATTTTCGAATCTCCACCTTTTTCCCGTCTCCCTCCCTCACGCGCTCGTCGCATTCTATCAAAAAATTGTGATCGAGTCACTGGCATTTTCGTCATGCCACCTGTTCGAAAAAAGCGTCCCAACGCCAAGTTGGACAACACGAGAGTCCACCCGAGGGCTCTCGAGCAAATATCTGGCCTTGCCCAGTCTCCGAAATGCGCGGAGATGAGAAAGGTCTCCATCAAAGGGAAGGAAAAAGCCCTCCCCGCCATCACTGAGCCCGATACTGACATGATCGGGTCAGTCGAAATTGTTGAGGAAATTCCTCAACCACCCTCCGTCCCCCACGGGATTAGAGAATCATCCAAACCGCCTCCGACCGTGTCAAAACCGTCGGAAAACGCTGCAGTCAAAGCAGCGCCAACATCAACGTCGCAGCCAAAAGCTGCCACGAAAGCATAGTGTCCCCTCGACCTCCGACCAATAGTCGAAGCTGAACATCGACGCGCCGCCGAAATAGCGGCAAATCTGGCCCTCTGCTCCGCCGCCATCTCTGGCGTCGGGGCCACCCTCCTCCCTTTGACCAACGGGTCAAATAGACAATTCGTAGACTCCATGAGAGTCTACCTACGCGCCGCCATTGCGCAATACATGGCCACGGGCCCGGCCACTACGCCACCCGTCCTCCCTCCTCGCCCGACAAACCCTCTCCCAAGGGCTCCCGACGCCAGGAGACAAACAATACCCACCGTCCCAGCTTTGCCTGTCAAAAGCACCTGGGCCACGGTGGCCAGACACGGACTGCAACAAAAAGCAGGCCCAACTGTGAAGGCTGTGCCGCGACCTGCGGCCAAAGCCCAACAAAAAGAAAACCCCAAGGCGAAAGTCGATAAGCGACTGTTCCTCCGCCTTGAAAAGGACCACCCGTGGCGAAAATTGTCCACAAGCAGCGTGAGAACTAAGTTAGAGTATACATTCAGCTACTTTAACCAAGAAATAACCTCACTCCACCGAGTGAGAACGGGCTTTGCTATGCTAGCAAAGAACGAAAAAACACGACAAGAGACTTTAGATGGCTCTTCGAAGCTGGCGAGTCATAACGTCAAACTCGAGGCATCTTCGGATCTTGTCGCCTTACAGATACCAAACGTACCTGTAAGTATAATCACAGAGCGAGGCCCTATGGTGGTCGATTCTGAGTGGGTCTTCGACAAGATCGCTGTTATGACCGGCGCAAGACCAATACACGTCCGACCTCATGGGACATGTCGACCTGGGGCACCGAATCAAAACTGGCATGCCCTTTTCACGCGGGACCACGCCCCTCATGCGGGCTTCCGCCTCTTCGACGAGTCTGGTATGGCAACCATTCACAAGCGTCGTCGCCAAATTGAACAGTGTAAACGCTGTTTGGGCTTCCACGCCACCCGTGGTTGCTCCCGCGCTCCAGCCTGCTCTCGGAAGCCGAGTGCAAGGCCCTCACTAAGTGTCGCAACTGTGGGGGACCCCACCGATCGGATTCTCGGGACTGCAAAGTTAGACCCAGAAAGTCTGGACCGGTGACAAAAGAGCAGCTCGCATGGATACGCCACCTCGAGCAAGGGAAGTTCGCGGAGGCGGCTCGAGCTAGGGCTGCAGCCAAAAAGGCCGAAGAGGCGATCGTCGCCACGGCGAAGGATGTCGCAGTGGCTGAGGCAACAGGTTTCGGAGTGCTGGGATCTGAAGAAGAAGTTTGAGGACACAGCAACCTCGACGATGTCCCCTTCTGGGGCATCTACTAACAATTAGCAGGATACCGGCTGGATCAAAGGTGCCTGCTAACTCATCTCTTGCTCTCAGCGGAGATTGAATAAATTTTGTCATTTGGAAGGTGTGACAGACGAGAGAATTTGTGAGGAGCACATTGACTGGGTCCAACATGGAGGAATCTTCTGGTTTTTTTCGGAGCTGTTTTGATTTGCTTGATTTCTCGTCTCTATTTAATCAGCTGCACTTTTGGTAGCGATTCACGAGGTTGGAACGAGTTAGGCTGTAGGAAAGATTACAGGGAACCCTGCCGGCTCCGCCTGTCCTTGACCCAATGTGAAAAACATAGCTTTAGCTTAGGACAAAATAAACAAACAAACAAACATATGCCATTAAGCCCTAGCTCGTCCTACAAAGTCTGGACCAGCATCCAAAGAGAACCTCGAGGCAATCAGGCAGGCGAGTCAACGGGAATTTGCTGCAGCTGTACGAGCAAAATCAGCTGTCAGACGCGCTGAAGCCGCAGTTTCAGCAGCCTCTGAAAAGGCAAAAATAGCTCAGACGAGCTTCAAGTCCAGCAACTGCTTCGAAGTGCTGATGACCGATTCATCGCCTTCTGTAACCAAGGTTACAGAGGACGTGAATCGTGAAGAAAGCTTATAAAGGGCGCCCCACGGGCCCCTTTTCGCCTCCCTCCTACCTTAAATTTCATGTCGATAAATGTAGGAAGGGGAGGCCCGACACAGGACATCGCGCTCGCCCGAGCTTTTGAGCTGGGAGTCGATGTATTGCTTGTTCAGGAACCTCTGTGGAAAAAACAGAGCAAGTCAACAAAGACTCATCCGGGATATGATTGCCATATTCCCCATGGTGAGGATCAGTCAAGGCCGAGGGCGGTGACCTACACTCGGAAAAACGACAGTGAAATTAAGGCAACTCAGATCTTTCCCTGTGCCATGCCTACGGCGGACTATTGCTGGGTCGTGGTCAATGGAATCACGTTCCTCAACGTCTACAAAGCGCCCAACGACCCACAGGCTGTGCAGCCTCAATCAACTGGAATCCACCGCCAAATTCTGTTGCGGCGGGGGATTTCAACTCAGTGTACTGGGCCTGGCAA